AAGCTGCCTGCAGAAAAAGCCCCACCGCAGACTCTGCAAACAGCAACGGACAAAAAGGTGATGAAAATCTAAAAGCCAGGGGCCCAAAATGATTCCAAAAATTTGGACGAGCACTGCCTGTCAGCACGCGAGGCGAGAAGCGAAGAACAGACACCACCTCCCTCAGAAACGGCAAATACAACTTCACCAAAGCAGCCGGCGCCCGAGCTGCTGAAGCAAGCACACCGGACCCTGGCCCGGAAGCTAGCTCCTCCACACCCAGCACGAGACAGTCCCAAGACAGCTTCAGCAGGGAAAAGAAGCGCAAGACCGAAGCCACGTGCCCACCAGCGCACAAATCCTCAGCCACCAGGGATGCCGAAAGGGAGGGAACCTGTACATGAAGCCGCACCTGGCCGACATCATAAGGAAGGACGGGAGCGAACTAGCATGCCTTGAGGTGCTCCAACTCACCTCCCAGGAAAACCTGAACGACCGTAGGCAATTCTCGCCATTCAAATGTTCATTCCAACAGGATGAATGCCAAGCCCCGCAAAGAAGAAAAGGCACTCTGCAAGCCAGGAAGACTCCAGCACCTTGTAACACACCCAATAAAGAAAAGAGAAGCCAAACTCAAAAAGAAGGTTTCATTATCGAGGCGTAATCCGGGTCTCGCAGGAGGTAAACCGCAAGGAGCCTCCCACACCTTCCTCGGTGGGATGCAGGAAGCCAAAAACCTCCAGGAGAGAACCGAAGAACCCAAGGTAACTCGGGCCCGAACCCAGGGAGGAGTCGAACTCATAACAAAATCGTACAGGGAGGAGGAAAGGAAAACCCCTCCTCCTGTAACAGCAAGCCCTGCGCCGAGGGTACCAAACACCCAAGCAGGGACAAGTGGGGCTCAGGCCCCCCAAGTCAACTCCTCCCCAGCCCTGGAATCCTCCACGTCAGGACCTGGAGCCAAGCCGTCCTCCAAACCCTCTGCCTTTGGAGAAAAAACAGAGTCCACCGGAAAAACAGGGATGAAGGGGGGGCCCACTGGCGTAGCCCAAAAGCTCCGGCAGGAGGACCAGACTCGAATGCCTCCGCCGCCGATCCGGAAGGAGCAATCCTCGAAGCCACCCTAGTCTCACTACCAGTATAATTCAGCGGGGCAGCTGCGGTGCATCCAGAAAGGCAATCAACCTTGCATGTTGCTGCAACCTAAACCTTGCATGCAATGCTAAAGCTGCCTGCACTCAAATATCAGTCTCAGTGGACTGGGTGAATGGAGTACAAGCAAAGAACACCACTCGCAGGACTCCGGGTCATAGGTGTCATTGACCCCAACAAGCAGCAAGGCGAAAGCAGACGGTGAGTGTCAACCCAAAACAGGGGGACAGAGCAACCTTCAAACTCGCACAAGGCGAGGTGGGACTCAGAGGTCTCCTCCATTGGACCACTGAGCCCCAGTGGAGGTTATCTTGAGGTTATCTTTAGATGATTTCGGGGGTTTAGCGTCCCCGCGGCCCGGTCCTCGATCAGACCTCCTTTTTGTTACACACTCCCAGGAAGCAACCACCCCCAGAAAGCAGCTGTCTAACTCCCACGTACCTATTTACTGCTTAAGGGAGCCGGTGGCTGAGCGAACAGAGCACTGGACGCGTGATCCTGTGGTCCCGAGTTCAATCCCGGGCGCCGGCGAGAAACAATGGGCAGAGTTTCTTTCACCCTGATGCCCCTGTTTCCTAGCAGTAAATAGGTACCTGGGAGTTAGTCAGCTGTCACGGGCTGCTTCCTGGGCTTAAAGAAAGGCCTGGTCGAGGCCTTAAAAAAAGGTGGAGGCCTGGTCGAGGACCAGGCCGCAGGGACACTGAAAAAGCCCCGAAATCATCTTAAGATAACCTCTCAAGATAGGTAACATGGGTATTAGGGTGAAAGAAACATTTTGCCCATTTGTCTCCACCTCCACTGGGGATCGAACCCGGAACCTCAGGACTATGAATCCCGTGTGCTGTCCACTCGACTGTCAGGCACCCAGGAGTTGCCACCCAGCTGTCAGGGGTTTCCAGGGCCCTTAGGCTGACTGCTAAGGGAAGCCCAGGTGAGGTACTGCTAACCAGTTATCCCAGAGTTACTAAGCAAACAATCTAAAAGCTAAACCTGTGCAAGCACGGGGACCTAGTGGAGAGCCACCAAAAACCTACCAGTGGTCCTACCGCTACACCTGGCAGACCTCCGCCAGGCAAAACAAAACAAAACAAAACAAAAACCCCGCAAAAGCACAACGTCTCCAGGAGAACAGAACCGGTCGCTATGTGTATATCAGACAGCTGCATAGTACCTCATGTCCCAGCCAGCGACGAAACTACCTCCTATCCAAGGACAAACAGGAGTAAGAAACTCCCCAGCTGAACCCCCAAGGGCAGGCAATCACCGAGCAGCGATAGAACCACACAGAGGTAGCTGCTCCTGAACAGCTCATGGAAGATAACCCTGAAGCCGCAAAGGCAGTACTTACAGGGCACCTAGGGAAGGTGGCCCTAGGTGCTGTGACCGTTACAAAGAGTAACAGTCAACTATACAAAATCGAGTTCAAGCACAGTTCAAAGTTCTGTATCTCAGGGTACAGTCCTTGTAACACTGCTTTTCCTTATTCTCATATCAGAAATAGACAAAAATGCAAGTCATAGCTTTGTATCATCCTTTCCAGATGACACAAAAATCAGCATGAAAATTATCTCTGCTGAAGACATTGAAAAACTACAAGCAGATATTAATAAAGTTTTCAACTGGGGAGAAGAAAATAACATGATGTTTAGGGAGAAGAAAATAACATGGTGTTTAAGTGATAAATTCCAGGTACTCATGTACAGTAAAAATGAGGACCTTAAACATAATACAGGGTACAAAACACAATCAGATTTAGCCACATAGTACGAAAGCAGCATGTAAAGGACTTGGGAATAATGGTTTCTGACGACCTAACGTTTAGGGAGCATAACCAAGCAAATATTGAGTCAGCCAGAAAAATGATAGGATGGATTACGAGAACTTTCAAATCCATGAACCCCATCACAATGGTCGTACTATTGAAATTACTTGTGCTGTCCCATCTTGAGTAATGCTCAGTACTCACTTTTTCCCCGCAAAGCAGGAGAGATTGCTGAAATAGAGGGAGTTCAGAGAACATATACAGCATACATCAATGTGATAAAGCACCTAAATTATTGGGATCGTCTCAAAGCTCTCCAAATGTACTCGCTAGAAAGGAGACGAGAGAGATATCAAATAATATACAATTGGAAAATACTGGAGGGCCAGGTCCCAAATCTACACAGTAAAATAACAACTTACTGAAGTGAACGATATAGAAGAAAATGCAGAATAGAACCAGTGAAGAGCAGGGGTGCCATAGGCACAATCAGAGAACACTGTATACACATAAAAAGTCCATGGCTGTTCAACGCCCTCCCAGTGAGTGTAAGAAATATTGCTGGAACAACCGTGGACATCTTCAAAAGAAAACTAGATAGTTTTCTTCAAGAAGTGCCGGACCAACCAGGCTGTGGTGGATATGTGGGCCTGCGGGCCGCTCCAAGCAGCAGCCTGGTGGACCAAGCTCTCACAAGTCAAACCTGGTCTTGGGTCAGACTTGAGGAGTAGAACAACTCCCAGAACCCCATCAAGCAGGTATCAAGTAGCTTGTGTAGGAATTGAGAGGCACAATGCATTGCTTTACATTTGTTGAGAAAGGTGATACAATATGTCTAGCATCACCACTATTTCTTCAAAATTTATAAATCCTATACTTGTATTTGTAGGAGACTGGTGGATGGAACCAATATTTTTTTTTATTATTTATATATACCTGTACAAGAATTCTTACATTCTTGTACAGCCATTGGTTCTATGGTTCAATTTACTTATTAGGATGGATTTTATAAGCAGTATGTGTGGGGCACACATTTTGCATGGGCTTCCATTATAAATTGGCAATTTCATTGGTAAATTTGGGATATATTGAATTTTTTGGGCATATTAGGTCTCCATGAACTTTTGTTAGGTGACAACACAGCCGTGTACAGTACTGTGAACAGAAGGCAATTTTGTTTCTACACTTTTTGCAACAAACCTGATGATACTAACCACTGGTGAAATGTCATATTTTGACTGATTTCAGCTTCACCCTAACTTATGAATACATCTGGTGTTCTCTAGTTAATTCAGCTAATATTCTAATAGGATCTTTCATGTGTTGACTTTTATGCTCATTTCACTATGCCATCTAGTAGCTGTACTTGACATATATTTTGTCTGCCAGAAGGGTCTTTTGCTTCCCAGTCTATTTCCCATGGTTTTGAAGTTACCCATTAATAACCTTGTAGGTATGTAGATATGGTTGAATTTAAGCTCAGATGCCAAGCACTTGTACATCTTCCAGTGTTGTACCTAGCCACTTGTACCTTTTGTGTCAATGACCAGAGCTGCTGTATTTGAATTATGATGTCTTCATAGCTACTATTGTATTCCTGTGCGGACCTCAGCTCTTCAGCAACCAATTGTGTAAAACCATAACAATTATCTTTTTGTGTATATGATATGGACACAATTCTTCCTGTTTACTATACATTTTTCTTGCATTTACTTCATATACTTAAGTGATGAAGCATATTAAAACTGTATCCTCATTACATAATTTTTTTGTTTTAATGATTCAGTCTGAAGCCATTTATTCACCTATGGACTGTTGCATTGAAAGCCTGTCTTGTAATCCAGTGTGTCAAATTTAATGATGTCCTTCCTTGTTTATGATTATCTAAGGTGAAGCATGCTATAAATTTTTTATTGTTCTAAGAAGCTCAAAAAGATATAGGCCTTCTGGGATGTACTTTCTATAATACTTTCTTTGGTCAGTATTAATACATTTTTCATAGTTTTCTAGGTTAAACTTCCCAAGACATGAATGCAGCTCTAGAACAGAAGGCAAGATGCCTAAATCATGCCTTATCATATTATTCAGACATCAATTTACTTTGCAGGGGAGTCCGGAGGATCTCATCAGCCTGGACAATGATTCTTTCCTCAATAGCTTGGAATCGATGACTATCCAGAACCTGTGGACGGACAATATCCGCCACACCAAGTTGTAGCCCAACTTCACCATAGCTTTTTGCTAGGAGTCTACCGCCATATATATATATCACTTAACCAAGCTGCAATCTCCGGCCAACTCATAGTCAAGAATCCACCAATATACAGTTACCATTTGCCTCTGGTCAGCTCGTCAAATTTAGGTAATTAATTTCTCACCAGTATAGTTATTATCAGCCTCTGGTCAACTTAACATTGAAATGTGGTGAAGAGTCACCCATATAGTTCCCATTAGTCTTCATGTGGATCCCCAGCACGTTGGAGTTCCATAGTCAGTGATGTCAATCTAGTCAGAGGCCACCATTCCAATTAATGGATTTTGTTATGTAATTACTATTCATCATTTTATGTATATCATTTATTGAAAGAAGATACATGAGTTTTGAATATTTTGTGCAAATAATCCTTACATTACAAATGATGTATCTTACCCTGCAAGAGGTAACGATAAATATAGTGAACTAGTTAATTACACCAAAAATGTAAATCAAGAGCAGTAGTAATAAATTATTATACTGCATATCCAGTCTTGTGGAAAATAGTATTTTCGTATTAAATATACAGCACTGTATATGTAGCTTAATTATTAATGTTCTAAATTTTGACATTGTACTTATAAGTAATTATGGGTTATGATTTTTATGAGTTTATTGAAACTTATAATATATATATCATTCAGAGTCCAAAAATGTAAAAAGTTTTTTTAAGATATAAAACAAAAGATAATTATTTCAAACAAAACAAAACTCAATAATCATTAAAAATAATGTTAAGTCATATTGTATACCAAACTGTACCAGGTTAAGTAGTGGGCGTACCAGGGGTTACCCCTGATTAGTTAGGCAGAAAAACATGCAGAGAGTATGTGAAGACTTGAGTATGGAATATGAAACAGTTTTTCTATGCAATTTGAAGAAGTGTAGTATAAATATGAACAAATAATTATATAGTAGATGAACTATAATAAAAGCAAGTTATGTTACCATTTTTGTAATGTTATGTAAAACCAAGATAATATCCATAGCAATATTATATCTTAATTTTCTTTGAGTGTGGTAAGAGTATATGATGGTGTAATAACAAACCTGAATGTACTGTGTATCTGCTAGCATAGTAAGAGACTTTGGTAATGATGTATCTTAATCTAATAATCCATTAAGTCAAGTCTGAAAAGCAGCGGGTATGTCTGACACGTGTTGATAGGCTGGCTGCCTTCCATCAAACATATCTCGCATTTTTATATCTTAACTTATAATTACTTCTTTTACTATATAGTGGGTACTATGTAACATGCTTTTTAGGCCTCAAATATAAGTGTATATATATATATATATATATTTATATATATATATATATATATATATATATATATATATATATATATATATATATATATATATATATATATATATATATATATATATATATATGTCGTACCTAGTAGCCAGAACTCACTTCTATGCCTACTATGCAAGGCCCGATTTGCCTAATAAGCCAAGTTTTCATGAATTAATTGTTTTTCGACTACCTAACCTAGTTAACCTAACCTAACCTAACGTTTTCGGCTACCTAACCTAACCTAACCTATAAAGATAGGTTAGGTTAGGTTAGGTAGGGTTGGTTAGGTTCGGTCATATATCTACGTTAATTTTAACTCCAATAAAAAAAATTTACCTCATACATAATGAAATGGGTAGCTTTATCATTTCTTAAGAAAAAAATTAGAGAAAATATATTAATTCAGGAAAATTTGGCTTATTAGGCAAATCGGGCCTTGCATAGTAGGCTGAGAAGTGCGTTCTGGCTACTAGGTACGACATATATATATATATATATATGTCGTACCTACTAGCCAGAACGTCGTACTCGGCCTGCTATGCAAGGCCCGGTTTGCCTAATAAGCCAAGTTTTCCTGAATTAATATATTTTCTCAATTTTGTTTCTTATGAAATGATAAAGCTACCCATTTCATTATGCATGAGGTCAATTTTTTATTATTGGAGTTAAAATTACCGTAGTTATATGACCGAACCTAACCAACCCTACCTAACCTAACCTAACCTATCTCAATAGGTTAGGTTAGGTTAGGTAGCCGAAAAAGTTAGGTTAGGTTAGGTTAGGTAGGTTAGGTAGTCGAAAAACAAATAATTCATGAAAACTTGGCTTATTAGGCAAATTGGGCCTTGCATAGTAGGCTGAGAAGTGCGTTCTGGGTACTAGGTACGACATATATATATATATATATATATATATATATATATATATATATATATATATATATATATATATATATATATATATATATATATATATATATATATATATATATATATATATATATATATATATATATATATATATATATATATATATATATATATATATATATATATATATATATATATATATATATATATATATATATATATATATATATATATATATATATATATATATATATATATATATATATATATATATATATATATATATATATATATATATATATATATATATATATATATATATATATATATATATATATATATATATATATATATATATATATATATATATATATATATATATATATATATATATATATATATATATATATATATATATATATATATATATATATATATATATATATATATATATATATATATATATATATATATATATATATATATATATATATATATATATATATATATATATATATATATATATATATATATATATATATATATATATATATATTGCAGTTATGCTTGAGGAGATTATCACCCTATTTTGGTACATGTAGAAACTGTCTCAATGGCTGATTTGATACATCCTAGGTCATGCATTGCTAGACTTGCAAGAAAATATTTAATTTACTAACAGTTAGAATATTTATCACTATTTAACTCTATGTTATGTAAATTAAGTGTTATGATATCAGTGTATATACTGTACTGTTATAATGGTTGACATTATCTTGTCCAACTGACTGGACAAAAACTGCCAACATTTGGTCTTTATTTGAAAGTGAACATTCGGCTATATTTTTGTAACATCTTGGTGGCTATACATTATTTTAATTTTCCCAAAACAATTTTTTCTACTTTCAACTCCTTTCAACCTTTCAGTCATGGCTAATATGGAAAAAAAATTTTGAATGTGGTGATTGTTGTATTGGAACATCATGAATAACTATTGAGTACACAATGAAATCACATGAACATTAAAAATCTATGAATAAATAGTGGTCATATGATGGAATGAAATGCACATCCCTGAAATCTTCAGCAACACAGACTACCAACTGGACCATGATGGGCAGTCAGTAGTCTAAGGGCTCGAGGAGTTCAAAGATGTATATTCGATGCTATCACACGGCCAAAATCTTCAACTATTAAATAACTTGATGGACACTGGTTAGGAGCATAGCGTGTCCTCATAGGCAAGTTCTACCTCAAGCCGAGTTCAAATTGTGACATTTATGTACAGCTTCACAACCATCACAGTTTTGTTACTCATTGTCTTGATTTATGAGAGGTAAAGGAATGTTGTGTTGTGTGGTGGGTATATGTTACTTGCTGCAGGCACTATAGTACGTTGAACAACTTTGCATTAGTTGTCTTACAGTTTTAAGGCTGATATAAAAGCTCAGCAAAACTGCTAAATGTTCAAACTTGTTAAGAAAAAAGTAGACCCTCCACTTAGGATTTTTTTTAATATTTGTAAAGTTGCTGTTGAGAATCAATTTTCTAGAATTAAATTATATACTGTATTTGCAGAATTGCAACCTAAGAAGTCCATTCAAATGCATTTTAGCATTTCTTGTATTCACTACAAAAAAAGTAACTAAATAGGCCTAGATTAGGTTATATTCATGACCTGCTTTAATTAAGCATATTTTTTTATCTGTATTGTACATTTATTTTACTTATTACATAAATGAAAGAAATAATGTTATTGTAACATTATCTTTTTTTTGTGTGTGTGTATCAGTTATGAAGAAAATTATGATTGACTATATACATTATCTTATTTAATATATGGTTCCCATAATATTTAATAGAATGTTTCACTAATTGTTTCATATTTGCCTCCATCAATATGCTCAGTATGTTTCTCAATATGTTTCTCTGGTTCTACAAATTGCTTAATGTACAGTACCAGAATTTAAAAAAAATCAGCCCCTTCAACTTTCTAGTCCTATATATAAAGGACTTCCTACTTACTGCGCTGATTCCATGTTCAATATTCTGGATACAATTCTTTTTTTAAATGTTATTCTCCATGATAGAGGTGCATGGGAGACCACCTTCTGAGATGCACCTCATGTTGTTCTTTGGACAAGACTCACGGTACTAAAAAGATTGTACGAGTATATTATGACTTATATTACTGCAATTATTTCATCATGTATAGATCTCTATAGCAGAGATGAGGTGTACAGTTTTGAAAAAGTTTAATATGTTGATGTAGTTCCTAAATTTCTATATATGAATGTCTTGTTTGGAGTGACAACAGACACCCCATCCTCCTGTTTAAATAATACTTTGTGTAACTACGTGGGCTATACATACATAGATGGATAATTAGGTAATAACGGATAATAATTAATTAGATAGTAGAATTTGGTACTACTGTATTCACTTTATATCCAAAAAAATAAAGCTTAAAACCAAACAAATATTCCTAGGCCTATTATAGCACATAAATGTACTATATTAGGCCTCAGATAGTGTGTATTAGGCCTAGGAAGGTTAGGTTAGGTTAAATTCTCTTTGCATGATCAGTACAAAAACTTTCCCATTTTGTCCAAATTCAATAGTACCGATCTCTACTTTCTAATTGCCTTTTACGTCAATATGTCTGTACGATGGTCCTCATGGATACTATAAGTACTACCTAAATAGGAAGATGGGCTGGAAGAGAGCAGGGGTATAGTATAGTCTTCTGTACTACAGCAGAAGTTGAGTATGCTCACTTGTACCACAAGAGAGGTTGAGTATGCTCACTTGTACACAACAGAAGTTGAGTATGCTCACTTGTGCCACAACAGAGGTAGAGTATGCTCACTTGTACCACAGCAGCTACAGGTCATTACACTTTTGAAATAAAGCTTCATTAAAATTCACGTGTTTATGGTTTTTGCTGGTGAGGTACACTTGAGCTTCCTCACAAGTCTTGAAGAGTCCTTCTGTAACAGCTCAGTCTAGATAGGATTTTATGCATTTTAGTAGATCTCAAGCATTGATACAATTCTGAAACTTTACCTGAAACTAGTGCAGGAGATTTTTGACCTCCTGTAAGTAGTTACAGTAATTGGGTTTTCTGCTAGACTAAAAGAATTAGTTTTCAATTAGGTCATTAATGCATCGGTCATTAATGATAACTCTGGGCATGTGTATACAATTATCTGGAACGAGAATGGTAGCTACTGTACTGGTAGTAACAAAATGGGATGATTGTTGTCACCCTTTAACCCCCTAAACGTATACGCTTTCTAAGAAATGGTTTTTATATTAGCTTCCAACTGAGACACCTAAAAAAATGTTCTGAAATTGCTCCTTTGGATTTTATCGTGGCCTGCAGTTACATAATTACATATGGTAGTGCAGTATTAACATTCATTTTGTAAAATTTTAAAAGTTGTTACATTTTCAAGGGCTCCCTTAGTTAGAATATAGTCCCCCGTAGCTTAGCCCATTTTCTCAATTACCACTCCATAAAAAATGCAGCGGTTTTGCCTAGCCAGAAGCGTTAGATCCTAGGCAACTGACCTAACCTACTGGAGCCAATAATCATTAGACCCATGAAGCATCACTATTGCAGTAGTTTTAATTTCCTTAAACCACTGCAATTTTTATGCCAGGGTCAATAGTGTGTAAATGTAGTGTGTTTAATAAGAGGACAGGTTGCATAGCTTGCCCTTAGCAAAAAGTTATTTCAAACTTAATCCTAAATATTCGCTTCACTTCGGTGAGTACAAAACCCTGGGCTTCGACATGTGATATTTACCCGATCCGAAAATGCCAATGACACTAAGGAAACTCATCATTGTATGCTTGATCATGCCAGGTGTCATAACATAATTGAATTAACAGTTGCTCTACAAAATACAAGAGATATGTCTGCTGACATTCTCTTCAATTAGTTATTTTTGGCAGCTGCATGATAAGTCATACAATGTGTATAATGTTCCATCATTGTAAGAAAGGCAGAAATATTCAATACTATTTCTATATCCTGTTTTTGATGTTTACATGATGTCCATTTTCAAACCAAAGATGTATAGTTTTAGGAATGACGTTAAAGAATAAAAATATTATGGCCTGAAGGGCATTATGCTAGACA